GCCATAAAGGAGTAAGAACAGGGATTAGAGAATTATAAGGACATGGCATCTACTGACTTCCAATAGGCCTATTAATATTATTTCATGGTTTTCATTCTTGATTCTAAGAAACAAAACAAACTGCAATGGCTGTCTAGGGAAGGAGATACTGTTCTACCGGGTAGCTTTCTTACGTGCTGCCCACATCGTGATCCATCCACATTTACTGATTTCCAAAGCCTAAACTGAAACAAACTGTCTCAGACGGCCAGTGACAGCTTTGAGTGTTGTATCTGTATTTAATGGAACAAAAAACACAAACCACCTTGTCAGACACACCACTGTGTCAAGCTCAATTACCTAAATAAACACGAGTAATGGCTAATTTTACTTGCTGCTCACTTTTTCGAAACTGCTTCAGTGTTGACTTTTGCAGTCTCTTCCCTGGAGGACTACCTCTGCCTGGTTTAAAGTTTCACTTCCAAACACCATGTCCAAAACCTAAAAGCTTGCTACAGAGGGGAGAAAAAAAAAAGTATAAATTTGAGAAAAGATCCTTCATTCTTTGGGGAAAACTGGCCTTAATCCTAAGAGGAGTCTTATTTAAGCAAGTACTGTCTATGGGCAAGTAGTGTTTCTGTTGCCAATGCAAATAGGTCATGACCTGCTATGATGGAAGCCCATCAATAGCTTTCCCAAGGGAGCAGTCACTCTCAATGTGTCTTTCTCCACTGGCAGCCCTGAGGCAGATGACTCCATGCTAGCCAAATGGCATGACGAGTCCGAACCTCAACAAGGTCATATTGAAAATGGTTAAAATACATCAAGCTGAGGAGAAATATTTTTTTTTCTTCTCATTTTTTTCTTAATACAGCCTTACACCTCTCATTGTTATGCAATGCAAGAATGCATCATACTTCGTGATTTCCCATAGGGAAGACAACTACTGGACCTATGCTTACTCACACGATCTGAAAAGGTGCCTCTTCAGCCATCCCTGTGACCCTGGATAAAGGGCTTCCCGTCTGGCAATGTTTTCACTTAGTTTCTCACTTCATGCACTTTCTCCCACACAAAAGACAGCCCAGTGATCGCTAGAACTAAACTACAGACACCACGAGTAACAGATCATCCTATACGAGTGCACGTTGTTCAGCAGAGTAAAATCCACACATTCTTTGTCAAGCACCCACAAGGAACTGAGCAGAGTGCAGACGCTTCATAGGACAGGTCTGCTGTCTGATGCCCTTTCTGTCCATGGCAAAAGGCTGTGCTTGACCTCTAGGTGCACTAAGCCAAGAAAGAGCACAATCTTCACAGATTCAGGATCAAACCAGCAAACTGACCCACCTCTACCCTCAGGATTTTGCACGTAGCACCAGTGAAAATAGCAGGGCTGCACATCTGCATGAATCCTGCAAGAGTCCTACTGTGCAGAAGTCAAGGGGGAGAAAAGGGAAGTACAAAGAACAGTCCCTAGCAGGGGCAGAGTCCTGCAGACAGATTCACGCTGATTCAACCCTGCTGGGTGGAGATTCACCAGCTGCATCTCTGGCCACCTACTCTGGGCTGTGCTGTCCAGTCTCATTCAGCCCTGTTCATCGGGCTTGGTGCCTACACACCAGGAATGCTCCCCTGTGGGATCCCCAAGGGCTGATGAATGGCGTTCTCTTCGAGACTTGCCATAGAAAGTCCTACTGTGACATATGGGCTGAACAGGCCTTTGCACTGTTTTCTGGTCTTCCCACATCCTAGACAGGCATTTAGAGAATTGCCCTACTTTATACAGAAGGGAAGACTTTGTCATCACACAACAAAATAAATTTACCTATAAAGTATACTGATAAAAGTTTTTCATTTCACATTCAATATCAGAAAAACAACTCTTTACCAGTTATGTTTTTGAAGAGGCAGGTGGATTACTGTCTACTTATTTCCGAAAACTATTTTCTGGGTTAAATCCAACTTCCAGCTGGTGCTTATCAAGAAGATACAGATATCTAAGCATCAGAGAGATAAGATCGAGCATTAATTTCACATATTTTATTCTCCACAAACACTCAAATATCTGTAATTGAACAACTGCTAGTCCTAAAATTCTATTCAAGCACTGAACAACACGAGTAATAACAGGTCTTGAAACACTGCTAAAGTAGTAGTAGTTTTCCAGAGGAAAAAGTCCCAACATTAAAGGAACTGTTCTAATGCTCTCCTCTCCAGTACCAAGAGTGAGTAAGGGTGGGAGAACTGTCCTGTCCCCGAGCTTCAAGGTAAGGGCACACTGCACAGCACTGTCTAACTGAAATCTGTATGTTTTAGATTGCAATGGAGTGTTGGTTTTACAGCTGAATACATGGAAGCTCTTGAGTTACAAAAAGAACTATTATTGCAAACCTGCCTACAGCTACAGTTGGTGTTCTTGGAAGATGAGTGTGCAAGTAACAAGAAGCTAACAAATTCATGCCAGTAAGTCAAGTTTAATTTGCTTTCCTTTTCCCCTCCCTTCTAAAGCTGGCTGAAATACAAGTTCCACTGTAAATGCAGTGACTAGCAAACATGGATGCCATCACAAATACAACGCTGCCAAGAGGAAGCCCTCCGTTGACTAATAACAGAGTTTCCAATAGCAACTGTGAGATATTCTGGGCACCAAACTGAAGAGATTTAGGGATATATTCTAAATAAGATGTGCTTTCTGCGACTAGAGAATATGCATTGTATAACATTTGGACAAAAGGTTCTTAAAAAGTCATCAGTAACTTGTATTACAAAAGGCAGAATCAGAGGATTTGCTGGCTCTTCGATGACCTTTACTTCAACAGATAACACTAAGCCCTCTGCATCAAGCCTGTTATTAAAGCACAGATGCATAAAATAAAGACACAACTCATTGCTGCGCTTTCCGCACTGCAAAGGCTTCAAATTTTTTCTGTCAACTGAGACAATATGAAAGCACAGCCTTTTATTTTGGAAAGAGGAGACGGCATGCTTGGTAATTTTTTATGCAGCATTTGTTGCTGTCAAAGTACAATACAGAACTTAATCAAGTTCATTTGTTAACTAAGTAACCCATTCTTTGAAAACATATTCTCTAACGCAAGACAGCGTCAGCAACGGATTATAAAATCATTTACTAGAAGTGGAAAATGAATTTTAAAAAGATTATGTTCTGTCAGAGCTTCTCCTCTGTACCCTTTGCTTGCTGAAGTTGCTGGGCATTTCACACAGTTACTTTTCCTTTTTTTTTTTTTCTTTTTTTTTTTTCCCCTCACTTGACTACAGAAAAAATTGAATCCCCCATTGCTGAAATTCAATAGTTGTATCAAAGGCCGCCCGTGGATTTTCATAAGAGTAATTTACTTTATCTTTGAAGTAAATACAGATTTGTCAGAAATATTTGCTAGGTCAATTTGTAGGCTCAACTATGTGGGAATTATGCCAAAATACAAGCACAAATCAGACTGCTAAGAAGCAGTTTCAAAAGGATGCTAAGTACTAGTGAAAACAAGGAGGTTCTAAGCAATGAGATGAGATTTGTCACCAAATCTCTGAAAACAGCACACTAACTTCACAGAGAAACAGATTCAAATTCATCGTATAACTGACTAAATATAGGTGAGCTGTTCATTATTGCAAATTCCACACTTGAACAGCAAGAATACCTTTCTACAAATCAGTGTGGTCATTTCCATCAAGCTGAAGATTTAAAATATGCATCTACTGTACTACAAACTCAAAAGATCAACCTACTCAAGCTTCTTCGTGCTACCGTATCTAGAGTACTACTTTCAGTAAAAAAACATTTGGACATAATGTCATAATTCAGACATAACAAAACATAGATTTACATTTAGGAAGGGTATATGAGGCAAAACCCCACTGTACAGAATGAATTCTGATTGCTGACCTGTTCTTTAGTCCAAGTAATTTTAGTCTACAGTACATCTGCCCACCATTTTTAATTTTAGAATGAAACCAAGTTATTAGAGATGTAAGTAAAATAAAAACAAGACTGATGAGGATTTAAAACTCTAGATGGCACACTCATACAATAAAAGACTATAAATCTGAACAAAAATACATAGAGATTCACCTATGAGACTTCCTTGCTTTTCCACCTGAAACAGACATAATCTATCTGCAAACACTGTTTCCAAGTCAATTAGTGAATTTATGTCATAGAAGTATCTGCACCACTTCTCCAAGTTTGAACTGGGTAACTTAATACAAATACTATGCAGTACTAGCAGTTTTATGTTTCATCAGTACCAAATTGAGTTAATTTGAGATACGACATGTAATATACTCATGGAATAGCACCCATTCTGTCACACCATTATATTCACTGCTCACAGTAACATATTTCATGGATAATGGGAACGAGATTGTATGTTTCCTAGAGAAATGGATTAGTGCACCAACCAGTTATACATATTTTCAAGCTTTGAACCCACAGAATCTTTTGTTGTTGCTTTGCCTTTGAGCAAGAATTCAGCTTTATTACCTCAAGTCCAAGGTCATCAATGCACTGACTTTAACCTACCCGTCTACACAGAGCAAGCAGTATAAAATCTGAAACCCATTCAGCTTGGATGGTGACTACAATCATGAAAATGACACCACAATATTTTTATTAGAATTTGTCAAGGGCATGTTGCTGTCATGTAATATGACTGAAGCAGTGATAAATGAAACGACAGCTGTGCAACTGAATTGCCACAGAATACATATGAACATCAGCGAGAATGATCAGAACTGCAAAATCCATGGGTTAGGGTGGCTGGCTGGTTTTCTGAGTAAATTAGCAAGCTCCTAAAAAACAAACACGATACAGACTTAGGGTGCACTAGATCCTTCTTGCTAATGCCTGTAAAAATACTTGCAACCTCCAGTAAGTACAAGGCAGTAGAACAACGTGTCTTATCCGTACAGTGCAGTAACACTCGGTTACTGCATAGAAGCCCACATACCATAGCTTACACCAGAGTGAGCAGGTAGCCATACTGTAGGTACAAAATCAGTACAGACCAGCATGCAGCCCTTTATTCAGATGGTTTTTAAATTCGTGATGTGGAACACACATACAACAAAGGACACATAGAAGAAGTAAAAAACAAAAAAAAGTGCCTATGCATATACTGATTGGAGAAATTAAGTGGACATGGAACCATTTGCCTGCAAAGCCACAGAGATCAATGTCTTTGGCCTTAAGCCAGTTCAAGACACCCTCTGAAGCAAAGTATACAAAAAAGTTTTCTCCATTTCTACAATACAAGATACCAAAATTCATTAATAAAATTAAGTTCTTTGTCTAATAAAGTGTATTCCTGCGTGATAACCTCTTCTTGATATATGGCAAATAGTCAAAAAATTTACATCTGTAGCATGCTTTACTTTAGATATTTAACTCTTAAATATTCAAATATGATAAAAACTTATAACAGATGTTATTAGTCTACACATATAAATTTGTAACTTCCATTGGCAAGTCCAATAAATCACTATGTATCGTTTAGTCATTTAACAAGTTTATTTCTACAAATTATGGCTTAAAAGCAGGTACTGTACATACAAAAATCTTGATACTGATGTGCAACTCATTACACTTCTTTATGCTGTCTTCGTTGGTAATTTATTCACTTCAGTGGGTATTTGTCACATTTCTCATAGCAGCAATAAATAGTCATTTACTTCTCATAAAACATTATTTTAGATAGCCACGTTAATCAATACAAAATTAATTTTTAACAGCATTTGAGTAACATAACCCATAGCTCATTAAAGTTTGATCAGGGAATCTGTGAATTTAGTATTACGTGTCTTTGTGCCAACCTAAGACTGAGTGATTTGCAGGGTCTCCAACATGTCTTCCACTGCCTTCAAAGAGTATTTACTTTCTTTCTTACTGCGACCTGCAAACTGGAAAGAAAAAAAAAAAAGATTTCATATATAACAAATTTCTGAACATGGATCCTGTACAAGAAATGGTTCTAAAAAGTTAAGTATGACAAAAAGAGCTCTAAAATTATTAGCTGTATTTACTATAAGCCCAAAAGCACAGCCTCTTTAATGTTTCGTTAAAACAGTGTTTTTACTACAACACAAGCTATGTTATCCTTCCTCTAGTAAGTCATGAAAAATATGTAACAAAATTCTTAATTTCAATCATTTGCTCTGAATTTGGATACTGAGTACTAACAAATACTCCATTTGTAACAGTAACATTTATCTAATGACAGAGATCATCCTGTTGTTTTGTTTGCTCTGTAACCTTTAACACAAATTTTATTTTACTTGAATTTTTGATGTGAATCAATATAGATTATATTCATGATTTAAACAGTAGCAAGACTTGGATTTGATAGCTAATCAAGGAGCTAATCTATTTTCTATTTTTGTTCCAGCAAGACGGAGAAAGCTCTACTTACCAAAATCTACTACAGAACAATGACGTCATCGTACAAATTACATTTTATGGTTCAAAGTAACTGCAAGTAATGACCTTGTGTTTGATTGTAACCTACTGCTGTAACATCTATTTCAGAGAGCATTTGAAATAAAGCCTGTGTTGATAACAAAGAAAAATACGGCTTAAAAGATACTATTTTCCAATCCTATGGCTTTACATTCCCTAAGATACTTGCAACCAAATTTGGGAAAGGAAGGAAAAGAAGGGTAAGAGATGTTGATTACTCCATGCTGACTTCAAAAGGGGCTTTCTAACTGTACTGACAGCTCCCGTCGCTCATCAGCCCCATCTAACAAAGGGGATTTATTGACTAGGTTGGTCTTCAGACAAATGAAACTCTCAATCATTTTTAATACACCTGCATTAAAAAGAAGTTTTGCATTTGGGGTTGGGAAGGTGGTAAAGAAATTTCAGAAGCGTAACTATAACTTGCAGTTAGTAAAATAGCCAATTCTCTACCTAATTCTTAACATCTAAACACTCAATAAATTTTCAATTTAATGTTTTTTTATTTCAAATACCACTGTTGTCTTGCATAGTTAGTCTTTGATTTATGATGTGTCCCTTCTCTCTTGTAATTAACTTAATTTAGCAAACTCTTCATGACCTGTTAAGAAAGATTAAGTCATCAGACCCAGGTAATATCACACCAGCAACAAGCTGCAGGCCCTGTTAACCTGCTTTTGACCCCTAGGCTACAATCTAACATTGGGATTCCCAATCAGTACCGGGTTCTTAAAGAAACAGTTTTGGTACAGTAAAGGAAAATCTATTTCAAATTAAATAATTAGGAGAATGAAATGCAGCTATTGTGACAACAGTAGTTAGAGGACATATTGAAAACACTGTATTTTCATACTTCTTATTTTCAGAAGGTGAACTGACGTTCGCTGTTTTACCCTAGCATCATGTACAAATCCGTTCGCCAGACTGCAGTTTCCATAATGCCCTGCAACAGTCAACTTCAGGGGAAAATCAAAGCTATTCTCTCAGGTGACAGAAGAAACCTTTGCTCGAATCTGAACTTAATACAATGTCCTCTTTTTCTTCACACTGAACAAGAACAGTCCTAAGCTGATACTTGGGGAGGTCCAAACCCCTTCATACAAACAAGCAAATGTGAGAACAGAACTCAAAATCCTCGATAGAAGAACTGTTCCAATTCAAAGCATTTCAGAGACTCGATAAAAAAGCACAGAAGCCTGAGGTCAAACAGTACATTTGGCAGAACACACAGAAAGCAGGCAGAGGAAAGCTTGAAAATAAGAATTTCACTTACTTTCCTTGTCTTTAGGGACACTGAAAGCAAAACTGACACAAGACATTAGCTTAAAAATGTTACTTGTTAGTTTCAGGAGCGGCTGCGTTCATGATATTGACGTGTGCTTCAAGCTACACAAGCAAAACCAAACTCTGCGTCATAACAAACAGAAGTATACTTGGAAATCTAATCACTTCAAATTTGCCCTGACGAACAATTATTTTGTCTATTCTGCCATTACACAGCAATTTGACTGATTGAGCCGGAATCCATTTCTTAAAATCATGATTTAATTTTCTGTCTCCCAAATGGTTTGTAACAAAATCACCTCTCCAACCATAAATAACATGTGGATTGCTAACACAGAAGAATTTAGCAATATACCCAAGAAGCATGTATCTGGAAAATTACTGTGAGTAGGATCACATTAAAGATTTTTGTGAGCATTAATCAAACTTCCCTGCCTCTGCTGAAACGCTTCTACCAGAGGACATGCTAAACCAATTACCTAATTGAGGAGCACTAGAGGTAGCCCTAGTTTGTGTCGAGGTTAAAGGAACCGTGTGACTCGTGTCCTCAGCCAGGACAGTGAAAGGCTTCTGCACAGGATTGGCACCGCCTGAATAATCCAGAGCTTCCCAGTGATAAACTAACACAAAACTAAGCCTGAACTTGTAACAACTCTTCAAATAATCAGTACTTCTGTAACATTTCAAATAAAAGTTTAATTTCGTTTGCTTTTTTTACACACTCAATTAAAGTTAAGTGGCCTAGAGAATGATGATGACTTTATTATTATTTTGTATTTTTTAAGAGTATGTGTTAGCAGCCAGGAATTCCAGCTCCAAGTAGCAGTTCTAGCTACAAAATCTTCCTGACTTCGTTCATAAAATTACATCCCTCCCAGATTAGGCATAGCTGAGAGGTAGTTATCAGCACAAATGGGTACGTATTTATCATCAAAATAATAATATTAACCAGATAAAGCACAGATATTTGATGCTTTAAAAAAAAAAAATCCAACCCAAACCCAAAAGCTTAATTGGACTGTTCTTTATGACCACATCTTTCTGTAAAGAAACTGCTCTGTAGTCTGACACTGGTGAAAGTAGTGAAAAGTGGTAGAAAGCAGTATTTTCTTTTTACACTCAAATACTCTTTTAAAATGACAATAAACTAAAATGTTCCTCTGATTTCAAACAGGAATGCACAGGAAAAGCAAAAATCATGAGCTGAATAAAATTACCTGTAAGAGAATAAAAGAACCAGCAAAAATATTTCAAGTAAGCTGTATGAAAAATAAAAAAAATGCAACTATAGCCGGTGTTGAATTTGAAAAAACAGAGCAGGTTTCCAAAATTACTAAGCATTATGTTTGTACTTGAAGTTGAAAATCCAGACTGAAAATGGGGACAGATCTCATTGCAAGACAATTGCTCGAAAATAACTTTCTGAATAGCTTCATATTTTAAAGTCACAAATGCACATAATTTGACTTGGCACCCATGTCAGGATTCAAAATGGATCTTATTCTCTAGAACATGACTAAAGGAAAAATTGCATTTAACAGTGTAAGAAGGTCCAACTAATAAAACATGTCAATGCCAAACTCAACAGGCTCTTCAGGCTCTTATTTCACTTTGCAAAGAACTTTGGATAATGCTTGGAAAGTGGGGAGGATTTATAGAGATAATGCAGGTATCTAGCTTAAAACCTGGCTAGACAATCCTCCACTAATGGAAGAAGGCTGTGAGGGCTTCCACTGGCACAAGCCACTGAGGTTTCATCCTTAGGTCCAAAAGATGACAATTTCCAACCACTCAACACACTAAGAGAGCAACAAATCAGTACTGACTCATAGGGGAAACTGCCACCTACTACATCACCAAACACCATTTGCTGTAGCAGTTGGATGTTGTAAGCCTCTGACAAACACTAGAGTGGCCAAACCCTTCTGCAGTCATGTCAGAGTAGCAAGCTCAATAGGGTTGGGCTTAGGAAGTCCTGTCCAGCTGTAGTCACTACAGCTTCTTATGGTACTCCTCTGAAGATGAAAGGGGTGTTCACATCAGTTGCTTGCCAAATCCTAGGTTGAACAGATACACTTTCTACATAGCTGAACTCCCCCTATGATTCCAGTCAGATATGGTGTTCATCACTTTATGTTCCAAACAGCCAAAAAGAGCTGCTAAAGTGTGCAGTGCATCACAAAAGTATGAAGTCACAAAGAAGTTATGACATTTGTTTTAAATATATAGTTGTGCTAACATGATCTGTTCTGGTAAGCATCAACCAAAAATGCTTAACATGGTTTCCTAAATAATTTCACAGAAACAATAGCATTGCACTTTCCAGTAAAAAATACAGAACAACAACAACAGTAGTAGTCATATTAGAGATAGTGATGCTAACAGAAAAAGCTATGTGGAGGAAAAAAAAGAAACGGCAAGTTTATTTGGCCGTGAGTCAAGTAACTACAAACTTCCATAATTAAACTTTCACTGTAATTAGAACCTGGAGATGCATATTTTTAGGTCTTAATCATGGTATGCCACCAACCCACAGACAACACTGACTTTACATTCCCATTCTGATGCATCCTGAAGGAGGCCATTTCTCAGAAACACTAATGGGTCTCTACTGGTGCTTTGAACTGGAAACCTTAATCATTATCCCTACTTAAAACATGTGTTCAAGGCCCCTCAAATCTAAGCAGATCATTTTATTAAGACGTAACACATGGAATAATAGTTTTCACCCAAAATTCACACATCTTTTAAAACCTGTCTTGTTCTGTCAATAATGAGTCTATTGTGTATTCTGCTCTTCAAGGTTTGCTTTGTTTGTTTTCTCTCATAAATCTTGCAGGACTAGTGTTTTCCATTGACATTGTGCTTACTGGAATGTCAGACATACTGAAGCCAAAAAAAGTCCTGCTAATTTCTGGGAAACGAGACACAGCATGCAAGAAGAAAGCAAGAAATCCATGCAGGTTATGTTGATTTACACACATCGCATCTAACTTGTTGAATGGCAGTTGATCAAATTGCAGACAAAACTACAGAGTATGTCGAGAGTATCAGAAAACAATTATGTACTAACCTGGTACGCTCTGTTTATTTGATTAGCTGCCCAGCTGGCATATTTCATATTATCTTTTTTCATTTTTGCGCTTGCTTTTGGGTTGGATGCAATATGGCTTGCAGACTAGAAATGAAAGCATAAAAAAAAGCAGTGTAACCACAAAATATATATACATAAAATAAACTGAGAGTACTTAGCACCTTTGCATACAGAGCCCCGGTAACAGCAGATATAGAAAAACTGGTAACTGGTAAACTGCATCCAATTAAGAATGACATGAACGACTTAAGCTATAGTTTGCTCTAATTAAGGCTAAAGTAGACTTAAGCTCAGTTGTGTACTGAGTTAAGAACAGAACCTGGACATAATCAGCCAAACCAATTCGCTTTTCCTAAAGTAAGAGTTACAAATTAGTTTTTCCTAGTTGATTTCTTACCAGAGGAGATTAAAAATGCATCCTCTGTGTGTCCAGACTGCCATTTTTTCCTGGTGACATTAGAAAAGTTTTAGAAGCAGGTTTTATAGAAAAACTATGCCCATCTTCACTTGGAAGAATTACTTAAGAACTTAACTCATCTTGGAAACATTTCCAGTTACACAAATAAATCCACTTTGTAAGGAATCATTGCTATTCTGAGTGCAAAAGTACTCGAGTGCAAAGAACTTACATTCATCAATGGAAACCTACAGAGATCTCAAGAAAAGAGCATGAAGCCAATGCCTACGTCAGTACTACATACAGAATTCAAACAGTTTTCCCCTATTGCTATTTATCTGCAACTACCTCCAGAAGTGAAAGGAGTGGAAGAAGCCTCTACAAATTCATGAACGTTCTTTCTGAAGCCAAGTCTCCATGACTTAAATTTGCAATCTAGTATACAGTCGTGGCCCTAAGCTGAGACATAATTCTCTACAGTTTCCTGACTTTGAGGAAGCATTACCAGTTTCCTCAGCAGATGCAGCCAAAAGTCTTTTGGAGAATTTACCACGGTTACAGACTGTCTTCAGGGACTACAGATGCTGGGCATGTCTGTCAAGAACTAAAGTAGCAGCCACAGTAAAAGCAGATCCTGAAGTCTAGAAACAACATTAAAAAGAAACTAGGAGCCAAAGGGTAGATACAGAAATAGCAATGGCAAGCTGAACTTGCAAGCATCTCCTAGTGAAATCCATCAGCCAGCTCCACGAACCTGAAGAAACTGACCAGTCAGTAGTGTACTTAAATTGTGCAAATCAGGGTTTGTTTGTACAACTGTCAGGCAGTGACAAAACCACTTTTCTCAAACTCTCATATTAGCTCAAAGTGGACAGTCAAATCATTGTGGAAATAACAGGCTCTAAGTCTACCTTATAGACTGAAAATAACAGGCAGGACATTAAGATCTGACAGAGGACAAGTCCAAGTGCATAACGTTCAACAAGGGATAGTGCCAGGTCCTGCACCTGGATCATAACAACCCCATGCAGAGGTGTAGGCTTTGGGAAGAGTGGATGGAAAGCTGCCCAGAAGAAAAGGACGTGGGGATGCAGGCTGAAAGCCAGCTGAACATGAAGTGGCCAAGAAAGCTGATGGCATCCTGGCCTACATTAGAAATAGTGCAGCCAGCGGGACAAGAGAAGTGATTGTCCCTCTGAATTCAGCACTGGTGAGACCTCACCTCGAATACTGTGTTCAGTTTGGGGCCCCTTACTGTACATGGGATATTGAGATGTTTGAGCATGTACAGAGCAGAGCAACTGAAGCTAGCAAAGGGACTAAAAACAAGTCTTACGAGAAGCAGCTGAGGGAATTGGGGTTGTTTAGTCTGAAGAGGAGGCTGAGGGCAAACCACATTGCCCTCTACAACTACCTGAAGGTAAGTTGCAGCAAGGAGGGAGTCAGTCCCTTTCTGCAGGTGACAACTGATAGGAAGCAAGCCAACAGCCTCAAGTTGCACCAGGGTAGGTTTAGACTGGACATCAGTAACAATTTCTTCACAGAAAGGGCAGTCGAGCATTAGACAGGCTGCCCAGGAAGTGGTGGAGTCCCTACTCCTGGAGGTATTTAAGAAATGTATGGATGTGGCACCGACAGACGTGGTTTGGTGATGGGATGCAGATGGTCAGCAGTTGGACTTCATGATCTTGAAGGTATTTTCCAACCTAGATGATTCTTTGATTCTAATTACTGTACTAATGGCCAATCACATTCTTGTCAATAGTTCTGTTCAGGCTAAAGATTAATTTTGAAATTGTAGAAAATTCTATTTAGAAATTGGACTGAGAAAAACAAACAGATAAAAAAAAAAAAAGTGTTTTGTTTGTTTGTTTTTAAACAGTTATCAGTCATAGTATGGTACTACCCTTCAGCAGTTCAACATCCTGCAAAGAAGAGCATAACTTCAAATACTTTTTCAAGAAATTATTTTCCTGTGTTAATTATCATAATTATTTGGAAAACATGGGCAAAACTTACAGCTTAAAAGCACTCCAACTAAGGAGACAATTGCAAAGATCAGCTTCTTGAAGTTGCAGAAAATAACCAATCTCAATGCGCTTCATAGATAACACAAGCAAGGTGGCATCTCGTGATGACATTACACAAGTGAACTCCTAAACATGGGGATTTATAGCCATCCAAACTGTCTGAAGATGCATTAGTGTTAGTCACTAATTAATATTACGCAACTGAAGCCTCTGGGAGTCCTAACGCCCCAAACAGCTTGAGGTGAAGGAAATTTTAACAAACAATAATGCTTAAAAATATTTTAAAATAAATTAATCTTTGCTGAAGTTGACCTGAAAGATAGCTTGATAGCTAAAGATAGTTAACCTCGGAAAATGTCTACACTGACAGTCAAACTATGTGAGAATATTGATGGGGAAAAGAAAAATTAAAAAAAAAAAAAAGAAAAAAGTGTTTGAATTTACATATGGAAGTATATGAAGGAGAGACCTTGCTTCTATAGGAAAGCACATTCAAAAGCAGCTAAAATTACAGTTTATACTTCTTAATAAAACATTTTGAAAACTGATTTAATAATGTATCATTACCCTATCAGGGATACTGGAAGCAAGATGCACATACTGGAATAGGGGTGACAACTTCAATGTCTTATTACTACTTTTGATCACTGGCACAGAATTGTCTATACTCAATATTTAGTAACAGTGTTAACAATCTAAACCACTAAGTTAAACCAAAAGGAAGAAAACCTAGCAAACAGTAAAGGAAAACATACACACATAAAGACATTCAAAATGATAACATGGAAAATATATAATCAAGGTGCTTACCATATAAAGTCCAAACAAAGCTCTCATATTTCTGTTGTTAAGCTTCAGTGCTTGTGCAAAATACTTTCTTGATAGCTCAAGGTTTTCAAGCCCCCCTTGAGTGTATTTAACCTGTAAAAATGATAGGCTCTTGAAAGTTGCATGTCACTCTTGCCTCTAGCATTTGCTCTTGATTCAAAGATATTATGAAATTTCTTGTCACATTTGTTTCACACAAATATTTCAGATAAGTTCTACCAAAGGCAAGACACTGGCCTGTGAGAAATGTTAACTCTTTTCAATAAACACAAAAATATTTAATTATAGAGAAAAAAGTCAGGGTTAATTTAATCAGTTGCTAAAAGAATAAAAAATGATTATTTTGCACCTATTCATACTTACAATATTGGGATAGCCTCTTAAGAAATTATGACAAACTCTCAATCTAAAGCTAAATTCTGACTGCTATAAATCCATACTAACTCTAAACTCCTTCAGTGCATACACCAGTACAGAAAAAAACAAAAAAATTGTCTTTCATTAGCTATTCAACTGCAAAACAGTGTACAAAATTTAAAGATCACTCCACTATTTTCTACTAGTTTTGCCTGTTATTAAAACAAGGAAGATAATTATTAGAAGACATGCTTCACAGATTTTCTACCACAAAGTTATTTAGACATTCAACTTTCGATGTTAATTCAATTTTATCCATTTTAACAAAACCAATTAATTCCACGCAGTTAAAATGTAGTTTAGGGAAAAAAAAATCATACATCTGAAAAATGAATACAAATGACTAAAAACGTCGAGCTCGAACTTCAGTGTCCTCTTTCTACCCAGTGCTCTTTCAATAAAATAATTCTTACTTGAAGGATTCCAAGACCTGGCTCCACAATAATAGGTAATACATCATAACTTCCTAGATATGATGTATAGTCTTCCATTACTGTTGAAAAATTTCACTTCTTATTTGAAAAGCACATAAACATTTCAACAAGAATTGCTCATTTAAAAGGAATTTTTATCCTCAATAATTCTTACCCTTACTCTTATTTATACATTAGTCACATTGAGCAACAAAATATTTTTTTTAACACTCAAGCTCTTTGAGAAATTAACATTCTCCTAGGGAAAATTAAAGAAACTTTTTTTATTCTGTTTTCACCACTTCAGTAACATAAAAGCAGAACACATTTAAGTATAATTGATTTTTCTGAAAATACTTACTTCAGCATATTGCTGACAATACAAGTGGTTGTGTGGATTAGTCATCATAAGCTCCTCTAAGCAGAAGGCTGCCTTTGCATAGCTGAGGAACATAAAAACAGTGGCATATAAAAACAAAAGAATACACAGCTCTCTCCCTCAGTTTCTCTACAATACAATACAAGAAGCCTTACTTTTTTTCATAACTCCATGATTTACAATCAAAAGACATTTTTTAATTTTCAATGATGTTTGAAACCACAAATCACTATTTTTTACATCATAAACAGTGAGAAATATACAAAATGTATACACCTAACACCAACTACAACATAGTTCATTTTTTTTTTTCTACAAGAAAATTCAGCTACACGATGATTGATTTAGCATGGTATAGATTGGAGCATTTACACCGTTGGTTATCTATCTATCGACATTCAACCACAGAAATGCGATCAAAAAACATAAGGAAAGTTCTAAAAGTCAGACAGCCCAAATGCATGCAAGAAAATAGCATTATACCAGTCCAAACTGGCAACGACTTGTCGTTGCAAAAGACTTGTTCTTTATATGAAAGCTTTCAGGAAGAATTACAAGACAAGCTTATAACAACTTTGTTCCGGTTAATAAAAATCCTAGCTTCACAATATTTTGACTAATAGGGTTTCCTGCAGAATTTGCGTCTTCTACAGATATGTGATAGCACACAGAGCTTATATGACAGGAGTCCAAAATACAGAGAGACAAAGTTCATAATGCCAGTGTTGGTAGATATTTAATATCAGAGCAGAACCAATTTAGCAGCAATGAGAATATTAAACCAAATAATCAGTCAAGTATTATTTCTTAAAATAAGCAAACTGTTTTTTTCCTATGATCATAGCAATAGTCAGATATATATCTCAAATGAGATATATCTCATTTGGAGATAAAAGGATAGTAGACCAACACTCCAAAAGCAGAAGCTGCAGTCCTATCGGAACAGAATGAAGAACTGAGGACTACAAAAACCTTGTAAATATAGGAGTGTTTGTTAACAACAGTAAGAGCATGGTGATTTCACAAGCAAGACAGAATTTGTGAGACTGATAAAAAAAGTGATGAAATATTTCCTTTATTTCTAAAATTAATATTCAGCTGCTATTTTAACCGACTGATTTTTTCTCCAAATCACAATAATTGTAATAATTAATGATACTGGTAAAATAAAACTACAGTGAGAACAGCCAACTTTTTCAATAAATTGAAGGAAGTTCATCTTTTTTTTTTTTATTAAAAACCAAGGCAAATACAAGCAAAACCAATTTCCTTCTCAGGCTTTATTATATGATTTTGTAATAAAGATTACAGGAAAAAAAATGCTGACAAAAGCTGTAAAGGAATATGTATTCCATTTATTCTATTACAGCCGTATTCCAGCTCCACCAACAGATTTGACAGCTTAAATATATTTCTAAATATATGTGTATACATAATATTAAATTTCCATTTTCTTGGAAAAGTTGGTGAATTTCTCAAAAGAAATGGAAATCTGTGACATCAAAATTCTAGATTAATCCCAAAGTCAGCATTTGAAAGAGTTTAATAATTATTTGTGAGAGTGAGGTGGAAGGAGAGACAATGGGGGAACAAATTTTTCGTTGCAGTGAGAAGGGCTATTTCTTGAGAGTTTGATTCTTTTACTACTCTCTAGAAAGCAAGGAAGGAAACAATGTGATATAATTTAGGCTGGGTTGAAGAACTAAAGTGGGGGGGAAATACGCCTTTGGGTGGGGGTTAGAATTAATGCTGTGATATTAGAAAACTTGCACTAAGGCTTTGAGCTAATCCTCTCACACTGGGATTTCCTCCTGTCACTACAGCAATAAAAAAAGCTAACAAAAACATTAAATATCCAATAAGCAAGTTACTACAACACTCAGCATTCTTGATTGCACTGGGTTTTGTACCCAGGCGACCAAATTCCTCTAACTCTGGATCCATGTTTTATTTATTTATTTTTGAAAGGTTACTAGAAGTTCTTGCAGAGGTAGGCTAAGAGAAAATAAGAATGCTACATACAAATGATGTGATAAATTGTTTTTAGAGGTAAAGAATTTAAAATCTGTAACTAGTAAAATATATCACTTGAGTGAAAAATTATAGAAAATGCATACTGCTTATTGCCACACTTAAAACATTTATTTTAAAATAATGGATTTAAAAAACGACTGAAACATACTAGTAATTAAGTAAATTATTTCTGTTTAAAAATAAAATACCTTGTTAAAGCACTAGTAGTCAGACAAGGCTGATTCTGTGTTATTTCCTGACAAAGCTGATATTGGAAATGAGACTGTATACTTTCTAACACTATTCCTTCAAAACAATCACCAAGGTTTTTGATTTGCACAGAGCGTAGTTCAATTTAATACTTTTTATGTGGACTCAGCAAACAACTTACTCATGCTCATTGATGTAAAGTTCTGCAAGTTCATGCCAAGCTTCCTGGTCTCCAACAAATCTGTACAGAAAAAGGCAAGAGAAGAAAAAAAACAAAAAGAATGTGTGAAGGGATTCTGTAAATGACCAGCCTGGAAGCAAAGCGTAAATCAAATGCAAATTCCATTTTAATTAAAAAGATTTATCAGAATAGCAAAACACAATCCGTATTCTTGTGAGACACTCACTGTTCCAGATACTCATTCAGCTCTCGGATGGCCTCAAGATTTTTCCCCTGGGCTTTTCGAATGGCAATCTTACGCTTTCTTGCTGCCTATGGGTTGACATTAATAAAGGATTAAGGTCTCATAATTCCCTGGGTTTTTGTAAAGAAAGCAATTTGACTGTGCAAATTATTATCTCAATACCAGCGGAATTCCACTGCAGAGCAACTGCTAGGTTGGAGTTTATAAACATACCCTATGACATCCCACTGAGAGACTGAAAACCTCTTCTTACAATCACATTATGTACGCCTTTCTTTGGAAGTACAAACTGTATGCATTATTTCATTCAAATAAATGACTGTCCAGATTCTGATAATTACAAAACAGCAGGGGACGCTAATCTTCAGCCGTTCCAAAGACCCCCACCTTGCCATTCACAAGGTCCATGACTACAGAGGAGAGATGGGGACTGGGTTTTAGAGAATCCCACAGATGCACCTTGGTTGCCACTTTATGGCTTTCAGCCACTTTTAACGATTCTCGTCAAAGTGCTGAATGCAATCTTTTAATTCCTGTTGAACATGCATCAAGTTCATATGCAACCTTCACACCACTTCTGAAAAAAAAATCAGGCTTTTCAATGTTAAGGGAACATAAAGCGGCCATTTCAATGGCAAAAGCAAAGAGTACTCTGATACATAGGTGGAAAATGTGTTTCAACATACACAATATAAAAACAAAGAGTTAAGAATTACACTTTATTCATATTTCAAACTCCATATAAGTTGTTACAGAACACCAAAAGAAAGGATATAGAGTTTTAATAGCTGATTATACCAGATTTCAGTCCAAAATTCCAGTTTCTGAAGTTTCCTGGTTACAGTTCTCGAAAGGCAGAATATCCCTCTAGAACACCTAACCTCTGGGAGTTTTAAATTGAGGTGCACTTCAGGTGTAATTCAAAACAACAGCTATCCGTCTCGCTAAGCAGTCTGACAGCACTACACCTCCACCAGCCGGAAAGTCATCAGAGCTGGGGTCTGACAGAATGGAAGGAAAAACAAACTCCAGCACAAAGTGCCCCAAAGAACGAACGCCATCTGGGCCATCGCTCCATCAGATAATATTCATGACAAAATTGTATGCTTTTCCTGTAACATACTGCCAGTGCTTATTCCTTGTACCTCTCAGCTCACTTTGTACCACATGAAGTGGTTACACAGCTGGGTACAGCCTTACAGAAGCCTTGACTGCCCGGGAACACACAACTCTGCCACAAAACCTCAAAAGATTTTAACCTCTGACATCAAGATAGCTCTGAAACTGGTTTCTTCATGATGTACCTTCCTACGGTAACAGTCACATTAACCCTGCAGGGGTTTCTGTAGTTTTACGGTATTTTAAATGTGACTGTTCTTTTATGTAATTTATCTTTTAATCATCATTTGACAATGTTAATTTCTCTTGGAAGAGCACTGGAGCACATCATTTACGTAAACTAGTTCAGGCTGGTTGGTAACACAAGAAACCAGAAGTGCTTTTAATGCTGTCAGCTCATTCTTTCCTCCGAGCTCGTCCCCTTCACCTCCCTCACGAACACACATTCAGTGCAAATTCAGTGAAAATGACTCGAGCTAAAAATCTATCACTCTTCTGCTTAAACACAACGCGGAGGTAGAGAGAAAATCTGTAGGACGGATCAGGAGACAAACGAGGACACAGGCAGTGTGGCGGGTTTACCCACAGTCACTCCGTTATCCAGCGCTGCTTTGTCAAACTGCAACCTGTGAAACTACATTCATCTTCCTGCTATTACTGGGAGACGGTTGGCCAAAATCCATAACCGGCTCGGGAAATTTTAACTGCTGACCACATCTATCACTCTAACAATAATATACACTGCTTATTCTCCTGAAAGCTTTTGAAATAATGATAACAGCACGATTTTATATATATATGTATGTATTTAATCTTACAAGAATCATCTCACATGTTTATCAAATTGCAACTACTACTAAACAAAAAAAAAAAGATGACAAAAAAAAAAAAAAACAACTTCATTGCTCCCTATCAAGTTTTCTGAAGAGGTCTCCAAGCATTTCATAAAGCAGGTCGTTATCCCTGCCCTGGGGGAAACGCTGGGGCAGCGCTGAGCTGCCTGCCCAAGGCTGGGATTACACAGCTCGGTGACCTGCTCGCTGAGCAGGAAACCTGAAAGCAGGGAAGAGTGGGGATAACCTCAGCCAAAGAAGCACAGCGTGCAATTATGACTTACGAAGACACAAGTCTCTTTTGCAGGTGACAGACTAGCTACTTTAAAATGCAGCTTGTAAATTGAAAATTCGGTTGTTATTCGCAAAATTTTAAGAAAAAAAATCATTAGACCAGAATGGTCAAAAATAACCCGCGTGAGACTGAAATCATCTGTTTAATATCTAAAATCAATCAACGCATCTGACAACTTAATTTGCAATGACAACCAGGCACAGACTACATGTAAGCCATCCATCCTCTTCATTTCTAACGTAACTCCTTCAATCGCATGCAAAGTCCTCCAAAAGCGTCTGCAAACAGATTCTCTCCATGGGTGCTTTCCTTCTTGACCACAGGACTCCCAAATAATGTAAATCACTGCAGCCTCAAGATGTTAATTTACAAAAAGCTACAACTATTTCTAGTCACAAACTTAAACTGATGTTTACCTATAAAAAGCATGCCATGTAATGTAATCAAATATCGAGGATACCAGGATTAGTCATGATTACTGAGATCTGATGGTAGCACTTGAGAGTAAAATTAATTATATGCACATTTGATGGATTTACTTGCTTCTAAACTGCACACAACATTTCCTCAAAATAACGTTTTTTTAGTTCACAGTTGAGAAAAGCAGTATTTAAAACTTCCCATTTCATTCCCCTTATCGAAAATAAAACAGCATCTGGGCTTGAAATCTGCACTCACTTCACTCACAAACACACCTTCAAAAGTCCTGGGATAAGTTAATTTATTTAAAGAGAACTCTTTGTAAACTAAGACAAACTGACATTCAAAACAGTGCTGACACTCAAAGGAAATATGTGGGAAATGGATGCACAATGTGTTTTGGAGTGACACAGAATTTTTGAAAGTATTTAAAATTGCTGGGAAGAAACCAATGGTGCTGTAGAGTTGTTTTTTTGGTTTGGCTTTTAAAAAGTAATTTACAGCATTTTTCAATCACGTAAATAAAATTAATACAAAAATGTTCAGAGAACATTGCCAAGAGACATTCACATAGATGCTCAGAAGAGATTGAAAGTATTTGGATCTGTGACTCCTAGGAGTCATAAGACTTCTAAAAAATAAAGACCTAGAAACAAAATAGTATTGCTTTTACCTGTACTCACAAACTACTCCTTCATCTCACTTTCTCGCTTTTCTTAAAAGACCATTAAAACTATCAGTTAATTTTTTAAAATAAAGACTGATTTCAATATGACTCCAGTACTCCCTGTTTTAAGAAAAAAAAATTATGAAAAGGTCTAAAAACTCAAACCAGACGTGGGCAATTTTGTATGTTGTTGTAAACTTCTCTCCACTTTCCTCCTCAGTGAGCTGGGCCTCACGTCCAGGATGCTTCCTGAGCATTCCTGAGCATCTTGAGAGTAGGCTACATAATGACAAACATAGCATCATTTTCTTCTTTATTTCCATCAAATTAAATCAAGTGTTTTACTGCGCAGCACCACTACCAATGATAACAACCACTCTACCAGACAAAAACTAGTTACTTTTAAGAAAAAAGGCAGACTCAAAGCAGTACTGCAGAAAATTATCATACATACCACTCATTACCTGCCTTAATAACAGGTGGTTTGGAAAAAAAAAAAAGTCACTTCATGTTTTATTAATGTTTCAGGACTTCGTTTAGTGTAAGTCTCACATTTCAAAATATAAGCTCGTTTTTGAGCTTTTCTGAGCTCATTTTGACCTACTGCAAGACACTAAAAGACTGCAGAACGCAGAGTATAAACCTGTGCAATCACTAACTTCAAGTCCACTAAGAATTGTCACAAGAGACCTATTTTCAACTACCAGATTTGAGATTGAAATCTGTGTAGTGTACTAAAACAGTTGTAACAATTGTGTTTAAAAAGATAGGAAAATAATGTTCAAACCTTACATCTCAGTTCTGCACATCACAACAATAAGAATCTTAGGAACTAGTCTGATACGAAAATGAACTCAGTCTCCTTCCACCTTAAATTGAAAAAGAAAAAAAAAATAAATTTCTATGCTGCAACAAGATATACAGTGTTTGACCGTGCAGAACCTATGACATGGAATTCCCCCTATCAGTTTTCCAGGGTTTAAAACAAAATACTGGAATGGTTATTGGCTGATTCTGTAAATCCAGCATTCTTAATGGAAAGATATATGCCATCTTAAAGAAACACTTATACCGTAATCAGTATCATCTGGACTAAGGTACTTTAGTATGTCACATTTATTAAACAGTGAACCTTTCCAAGCTATTTCTTTTAAAGACTAATAATCCCCAATCTGGCACAAGAACTAATCCTCCATTTGTCATGATTCTTTTTAATTAGCATTAAGTAGACTCAAAGTGAAGTTAGGATTTGAACATTTATCAACTTCTGCACTCGATTAGTACAATATACCAACAGAGAGTCTACGATCTGTCTAATTTCATGGTTGCAAATAAGGTACTAGGAGGAGAATTGTCAAGAACTGACACGTCGAAGAAAGGAGCAATTTCCTATTTGTTTCACTGCTGCAATGTTAATATTGTAACTTAAAATAAATTCATAGTTTGGTTTTTGTTAAAGATATAACAACTTAGAAAAGGGTCATTTGGCCTAAGAGTTTGACACATTAAAATAATTTCCTTCAAATTGGAGTATGCAAATTAAAAGCGTGAACAACTACAACAAAGATAAAGGGAAGGAATTATGTGGACGTCAAAAAATACCACATCATTTGAATACAACCACCACAACAAATATACTGTTACCAGATTTTTTATTTATTATTTATTTATTTATTTTTAAGTTAACCAAGGAAGACAGTTAAATCAGGCCAAATCTTGTAAATGAATCTATGC